CAGCAGTGACGTCTGCCCCATCAATTGACTCTTCCTTTCATGAACCATGTCTCTGTAGCATGCAGTGCTGTTTGATAGCATTCTGCACACAGTAGAACTTCTTTCAAAATCAGAGTCAGTTCTCTCAAACCCTGCTTTATCAACTAAGTTTATGTCATATTCTAGATCCTTTGTTGCCATTTAAATAATCAGTTAAGTTCGCCATCTTATATGGACATGGTTTGTGATGCCCCCACATAATTACAATAGTAACTTCAAAGGTCACTGGTCACAGATCACTCTAAAAAATATGATAATGAAAAAGTTTGAAATATTGTGAGAATTACCAAAATATGACACAGATACACAAAGTGAGCAAATCCTGTTGGGAAACTGGCACTTGCTTGGCGCAGGGTGGCCACAGACCTTTAATTTATAAAAAAAAAAAAAAACACAGTATCTGCGACGTATAATAAAATAAGGCCTACCTGTAGTAGGAATTTGTAATCACTTTGTTATCCTCTCCCCCAGCTTTAAATCACAGAAGCAAATAAATGGGGCAAGGTCAATTCCTTTTGTAGCTAGTTCCAATGCTACTGGTTAAAGTCTACTACGAAAAAGGTGAACAGTTATAGAAGCACGTATTTCTATAGTTGAAATCTCCTAATAAGGTCTTTATTCGAGAATTTAGATGCGTACCAGTCTCCAAAGGTAAAATCACTGGTGATATATGTCATCACTGGTTCCAAAACATAAATCTTTTGAATGATTTGCTGCCTTCTTCCTACCTCCTTTGGTCTGTGGCTTGGTTCGTTTTTAATTGCTGGTGATAATTGTGTTACATTTTTAAATAATTACATCTAAAACTAGTTTAGAATGGAGTACATTTAAATGGAGAGATTATATGTGGATACCACAATTTTTTAAACATTGCATTGATACTAAACACTGCCCTGCAATAGTGTCCCCCGTCCCTGAGGGACCGCTGTTGAACTGGTGTGGCCTGAGGACTAGCAGGTTTCTACCACCTTCTTTGGTTCTTAGTGCACCCGTTACAGAGGGAGCATTGTCCCTGCCCCTCTGTGAAGCCTGCAGTCCAGTAGAGAAAACAGCAGGAAAAATATGAGACGGAAATTTACATCATCCATAACTGAAAGTGTTTTGGAGGCCAATTTTATGGGAGGATTTGAGCACTGTTGTAGTTTAAAGAAGAAAGAAGTTGTTGCTTCATTTGTAGGAAAATTTGGGCAAAGGCCAAAACTTTGGGCAGAAATTTGTTTGCTAATAGTCACTGGGCATCCACTCATGCCAGGCAGCATGGGAGAACCTGGGGGTGCAGACCTGCCCTCAGGAACCTCATGGTTTAATGGGAAAGACAGACATGCAAAAACAGAGTGTTGGGGCTTCCCTGGTGGCGCAGTGGTTGCGAGTCCGCCTGCCGATGCAGGGGACACGGGTTCGTGCCCCGGTCCGGGAGGATCCCACACGCCGCGGAGCGGCTGGGCCCGTGAGCCATGGCCGCTGAGCCTGCGTGTCGGAGCCTGTGCTCCGCAACGGGAGGGGCCACAGCGGTGAGAGGCCCGCGTACCCCCCCCCCAAAAAAAACAAACAAAAAAAACAGAGTGTTGTGGGAGCCATGGTTAGAGTGAGGTTAATTCTGTGTAGGGGGGCCCAAAAGCCTCGTCTGAGCACCTGTAATGTATCAGACACCGTACTGGACACTGGAGATAAAGCCACAGTCTTTGCTGGCAGAGGACCTGCTGTGTGTGTGGGTCAGGGGATGGGTGAGGTTATGAATCTCATCTGGGACATGTTGATTCTGAAGGGCCTGGCCTTCGACACATCCAGGGGTAGGCGGCTGGCAGGCAGTTGGACCTGTGAGTCTGGAGCTTAGGGGAATGGCCTGGGCAGGAAGCCAGCCCTGAATGGGTTCCTTGAGGCTGTGGATGTGACTCTGACCTCCTAGAAAGGGAA